GCATTTGCTAAGAAGGGCTCTTATTTATCAGGGAACTTGCCTTTAAGCATTGTTTGCTGCATTACGGCTGTGAGGAAGTCTGGAGGATGGAGTTCACTGGAAAGATGGAGAACCTTTAGGAGCTCTGGCAAACTACACAGCTGTGCACCGAGCGCTAAGCTAAAGTGGCAGAGAAAATAGGATTTGTTTGGCCTAATTGTCAGAAACCCGTCCATTTGTGAGCCTAGTAATAATGACAGCCTACTGGGCCAGGTCCTCTGCAAATTATGATTTGTGTGATAATTCACCAAAATATATTTACATATGAACAAGTACAGGAGCAAACACATAAACATGGTGAGCAGGCTGCATGGACCAAGAGTCCCAGGTCAGCCAAGCAAGGTAGCCTGAGGCTCAGCACATAACCTCTAGGCAGCCTCTGGACCTGAACATTGTCATCACCTGGGCCAGGGCCTCAGGCCTCAGGTTCCTCCTCTGTTGAATGAGATGACACATGCAGAGTTCTCAGCATAGACCCTAGTCACAATGAAATGGCTTCTAAGTCATTGGTGGCACTAGAGCAGGGTGTGATGAGCCCCCAACCTTTTTTTTTTTTCTTTTTCTGAGGTAGTGTCTCACTATGAAGTCCAAGCCATGTAACCCAGACCTGGCTATGCAACCCAGGCTCGTTGCTAACTTACAATCCTCCTACTCTGAAGCCACTTATATCTTTAATATTTTTTGTGTTTTTATTTTTTCAAGACAGGGTCTCACTATATAATCCAAGCTGGTCTTGAACTTGTGGTGATCCTCCTGCTTCAACCTCCTGAGTGCTGGGATGATAGATGTGTACACCACGTCCAACATCTATAGCCACTTTTGACTTTACATATCCTCCAGAAGATCGAGAAGGGTCTAGGGAGCCTGTCAGGCCAGCAAATAGATAAGTTTATTCCTAGAGGCAGAAGCAACCTACCATCTTCTGCTTTCTGCATGTTTAGGAGGTGATGCTGTGTCTATCCCATGACACAGGAGTCTCCCCTTCCCAAGAGCATTTGCTAAGAAGGGCTCTTATTTATCAGGGAACTTGCCTTTAAACATTGTTTGCCACATTACAGGTATGAGGGAGAAGTCTGAAGGATGTCAGAGGACTCTCCCCATGCAGAAAGCATGTCCTAGAAAATAGAGACCCACAGAAGGTGTGAAGTCACTGTAAGAACTGAGTGAGCTGGTAGACATATAGTGCCTGGCACACTGCAAATAATCAAGAGGCACCATTATTATTATCTATAATTTGTCTCTAAAAATAACCTCATTAATAATATTTAGCATTGAGCCAGGTATGGTGGTGCACACCTCTAATCCCAGCTATTGGGAGGCAAAGGCAGGAGGATTTCAGTTTCAAGGCCAGTCTGGGCAACACAGCAAGTTCTTATTTCATAAAAAGAAAAAAGAAAAAAGAAAAAAAAAAGCCCACACAATGACAAAAAATAATTAGCATTAACCGAGCATTGACTCCAAAACAATCTGCTGTGTCTGGGTTCTCAATACCCTTTCGTCTTCCTGGAGACAATGCTCCATTTTCCTGTGGGGAAAATGGTCCTGGCTGGGCTGCTAATCACAGCATGCTATTCTGTCTCCCGACAGTTCCTCTCAAGCCTATTCAGGAGAGTTTACCGAGAATAAACCTTCAGTCTGATAAGCAGGAATCAGTTCTAGATTGGTTAACCAGGATTAACTAGGGATCTTTTTTTTCCAGTACTGGGGGTTGAACCTAGGGCCTCTGCACTTAGCTACAACCCCTGCCTTTTTCCTTTTGAGACAGGATCTCACTAAGTCACTTAGTGGCCTAGGCTAGCCTGAATTTATGATCTTCCTGCCTCAGCCTCCCAGAGTGCTGGGATTGTAGGTGTGCACCACCAAACTCGGTGTTCACTAGAAATGTTAGCGTTATGATGGCTGGGGAGGTTGAGACGTTGCTTACCCCCAGTAACAGGTGAGAAAGTCAAGGCAGATGTTATGGATTGTATGTAGATGGCCCCCCAAAGCCTCATTCAGTCATAGGTGGGGAGTTTTGAAGGTAGCTGGATTAGGGAGTGTGAGTGTGGATTAAGGGTGTGGATAATGGAAGTCCCATCCTGGCTATGGATAGAACCAATCAATAGGGTTGTAGCTGGGATGGAATAGAAAGGAACAGAAAGAAGACAAGCCCGGCTGCTGCTGCTGTTCTGCGGTCTCCTGCCTGCTGGCCTTGGACTACTTCTCCTCTGCAATGTCATCTTGCCTTGGAGCCAGCTGGCTATGGCCAGACCTCTACAAACTGTGAGCTAAATAAACCTTTCTTCCTTTAAGTTTGGATGTCAGGTATTTTGTCTCAGCAATGAGAAAAGTAACCAAGGCTGGGCATGGTGGTGCACGCCTGTGATCCCAGCACTTGGGAGGCTGAGGCAGGAGGATCGCTGTGAGATGGAGACCAGTCTGGGCTACACAGTGAGTTCCAGGTCAGTCTCAACTACATAGTGAGACCCTGTCTCTAAATAAATAAATAAGTAAATAAATTTTAAAAAGTAACCAAGATAGCCAGGCCTTACTTTAGCCTTCTGTCAAAAGTAACATTGCAGTGGTCACTCAGAGAAGGGCCTTTATAACATCTCATAGCTTTGAATGACTTTGGAAGAAATAGTGTTTCCTGTTGGATTTACAGCTAGGTTATCAACTCTGTCCTCGGAGCCTGCTTTCTTCTTTTTCAGTCCAACTCAGTTTTCACTTTCAGTCTTAGAGTTTTATTCTTTCTACTCCAACTATGACTTTGTCCAAGACACCCTTGCCCAGGACACTTTATTGCTATTGGCAAGAAAATCATGAGTGCTCAATCCTCTTCTGCCTGCACTGGGAAACCCTGGCATTATACAAACCTGATGGAAGTACTAGGCAGCATGATACCCTGTGCTCTGAGCTTGGGCAAGCAGGCATTGGGACCTGGCACTGGGCACTTTGAGGTGGGAGAAAGCATTGGAGCAGACATCTAAGGCACAGCCCAAAGAAGGCTGAGCTACAAGGCCTCAGCTATAAGGCTAAGGATTTTGTCACTGCCTCTGGGCACTTCTGCAACCCTGTGAGGACAGTTTTGTTCTTCTTTTGATTTGGAAGCGATCCCAGCCTTTCCTCCATCATCTTTCAACTGAGCCAGTCAATTTCTGTTGCTCACAACTCCAGAACCTGAAATGACCTGTAGGCTCTGTGTTGAATGCTGGCATAGAAAGGAGTAAGATGTGGGCCTACACAGATATACTCGTTGTCCACCTATGATGCAAGAGAGTGATTAAGCCCATAACAAGAGGATTCTTCCTTTTGCAAAACAGTTCACCCCTGAGTCCTCCCTTTTCTCCTTTCCTCATTCTGTAAACTCCATGATTGTTCACAGTATCCCCAGCGCCTAGCCTTCAGTAAGCCTGGAGCAGATACACTGAAGAGTAGATGGAGGAGTGGAATGGGCACCTCTATTTCTACAGATAAGGAAACTAAGATTCAAAGAGGCTCATAATTGAGCCTATACACATGCAATTAGCAAGCGGTAGAGCAGGGATTCAAAAGTAGCCCAGTGTGTGTCTTCTCTCCACTCTACTACATTATGTTCCTCTTATTCACCCTACAAAAATGCTCTCCTTTTCTTTTGTAGAGAGATAAACCAAGGTATGGAGGAAACATTGGAATGGCAAACATCACATTCTACTGTGGGAATTCTTCAAAAAGGTAAACACAGAATTAGCATATGACCTAGCAGTTCCACTCCTCAGTATACACCCTGGAGACCAGAAAACAGGTAAATAAGTACATGTACACACACATTCAGAGCAGCACTATCCACAGGGGCCAAAAGATGGAAACCGTGCAAACCTCCATCAGTAAAGGACCGCATAAACAAACTGTGATATATGTATCCATAGTATTCCATCCGTAAAAAGGATTAAGGCATTCATACATGTCACGATGCAGGGGAACCACAAAAGCATGCTAAGTGGAAATTTTAGACAGAAAAGTTCACATACCGTATACTTCAAGTTATATGAAATATCCAGAATAGGCAAATCCATAGAGAGAGAACATAGATTTGTGGGGAACCCGGCAGGAAAGAGGAGGAAATGGCAACAAACTGTTTATCTGGTAAAGTGTTCCCTTTGTGATGATGAAAGTTTTTGGAATTAAAAACACAGTGGTTTACAATATTGTGAATGTCTTAAATGCCTCTGAATTGATTACTTTTACATGACTAATTTTATGTGAATTTCACCTCAGTAACAAAGAATCATAAGCCACTGAATTGCATATTTAAAAATGGTAACGTTTGAGCTGGGGATTTAGCTCAGTGGTTCCGCCGCCTGCCTCGCAAGCACAAGGTCCCAAGTTTGATCAAACAAACAAACAAAAGGTAATGTCTGTGTCATGTATATTTTACTGCCAAAATAAATGACATTCCAGGGACATCAAATGTTTTCCACAACTCTTCTCACCCTGGGAAATACAGAAGGTACTCAATGAATGTCTGATGGTTTTGAGACAGACAGAGGGAGAGAGAAAGGGGGAGGGGG